AATATTTTAACTAAATTTTCACCGTAAGTTTCAAACACATAACAATTAAATAATGATTTGATGAATGAAAGAACAAAATTCTATTAATTACCTCCTTCATAACGGAAGCTACCAAAGTGGAGATGAAACCCCTATACATGCAAGTAATTAGTACAAAAGCAGAGACAACAACAGTCCAGTGACCCTCTAAATTCTCACTTGAGTGATGGCAAGTAGTACAGTGACCTTTCAAAACACTGGTGTATGTTATGTAGGGGAGTTTCTGTATCACTTTTTCAACGCGTCCATTCACCCAGTAGTGCTACGTGTAATATTCATTCCTCCAAATAAGCATGATTGGCTAGTAACTCCGATGTGTTATTGCATTAAAAAAAAAACGGTATAAAGATGTTAACTTCGTAGTAGTGTACGCGTGATACACATGGCGAGAAGATGTAAGGATGATGAACTTTAAATGAACAACATGAGATACAGAAATATAAACCTCCAAATCGGTGCATTTATTGTTGTTTTAACAATGCAACGATCTTCCCTCGAAATAAGTTTACTTTTTACTTTTTTGCGCCTGTTCTAGATACCATGATTAATCCTGTAAATAATGAAGGTAACGTTTACTTTTTGCGCCTGTTCTGTTTGTTTGTAATTAAGCACAAAGTTACACAATGCCCACCACAGGTATCGAAACTCGGTTTCTAGAGTTGTAAGTCCTAAGACATACCGCTGTGCCACTGGGGTCACAACAAAGGAAAGTCAGAAACAATAACAAAAGTGAAAATAATATCGCGCTAGTTTTTTCAACCACACGTTCAAGAAATGTGCCGAAATCTGGACATTGGCTTCAGTGTATCAACTTATCGGTTGTCGGCTAATCAAAGTTGTAAAAACACAAATATCAGAAACAATTCCAGGATTTTTTCCTTCACCTTTTTTGTTGGGGGGGGGGAGAGATGTATTTAAATTTGAGATATGTTTTACTTCTGACATTTGTGATTGTTAAAAAAAGTTTTGATATGATGTCATATAATCGTTCTCATTCGCGGAAATGTATTTTTGTTTTTCATATAAGTGAACCACACATTGGTAATATGTTAGTATTTTGATGTTTTGTATTGGCATCTTATAAGACACAATGGCTAAATGTCCAGATTCAGGCATAGGTGTCCATGAATTAGAACTACTGACTGGAGGGAGATCAACCAGTCTGCATCACCCACCGCTGACACGTCTACTTTTAACCGAATAGCAGAATTGACTGTTACTTTTATAGTTGAAAGTTGGGTGCAAGTTCAGTGACATAATACGGGTTCAAACCCTAGAGCTTCCTATACACAGCTAGGCACGACAAAGACTAGGTCACGCCCGGTCAATTTTGGTAAATTTAATTATTACGTTTAATCTATTAGGATAGTTAAAGGTCAGATATGAAAGACATGTTGGTTGAAAACGGATATAATAGATTTCCTCTTCTTGTTTAAGAAAACATGATAAAACTTAGTTTTCTCATAGATGTAGATAAAGAAAACGTTTACATTTTTTCCGCTTTCAACAACGAATGGTAAAACTCTTATTAATTAACAATGAACAAACTCTATTCACTGATTACTAAGGTTATAAAGGTGCATAATATAAAAGTAGCAGTTAGCTTTTTGGTAAAAATCTAGAGAGACAAATTGTCGGCTAACCATGATTATAACAAAGGTAAGAACAGTGGCAGCTCTAGCAGCGTTTAGATATTCATGTCCATTGTTTTGGTAAAAGAGTAGCCCAAGAGTTGGCGGTGGGTGGTGATGACTAGCTGCCTTCCCTCTAGTCTTAT